AATTCACTGCATCGGGAATACTAAACATGCGCTTTTACGCAGCTTTTAAAAAAATTGTCATTTTGTTGTTGAACTGTACGTGCCGCGTAAGTGTGAAGAAAGCAATACTAAAAAGATGGGTTTAAAAAAAAAAGAGAGAGAGAGAGCAAGAGCTGATAGACTGCGAGCTCTGGAAAGCGTAAAAAACCTTTACGCGTAACCCTTTACGCGACCGTTAAAATCTGAAACCTTTTTATTTTTATTTTATTATTATTTATTTTTTTTTTTTTAGTCCAAAGGGATTTGAATCCCGAAGGACTATTAGTTTTCATTTTGCGTTTGGTCGGACTATAAATGTCGGTTTCACTTTTCAAACTGTTGCCATAAATGTTAGAGTCCTGCATTATATTTGAAGAAATTAAATAATGAAAAATCTGCATAAATGTATGTATATTTCTCGTATTGTGATAAAACAACGGTACATAGAGTCATCGAATTTTGAATAACGTCGTAATCCTCCAACGAATATGAGCATGTGGAAGACCAAATTTGAAATTTGAAATTTGTTTTATGATCGATTTCCTATTTTTATTTGAAACTTTGACGAATTTTTGATTAACAAACTCAAGGATTTCAAAGCGAGCAATGGCAACGTTTGTGCAGAAAAAACATTTTTATCTCCAGCGCGTGAGTCTCTGTATCGGAAATTCTAAAGATATGCTCGTTTTAAAACTATTTTGCGATATTGCTGTTGCACTGGATCTTATGGTTTAAGTGCGAGGAACGTGATATTTAATAAATAACTGTAACACACAAAATGTTAAAAAAACGCCCCTTTGGACGTAATTTAAAATCTGAAACCTTTCAGGTTTTTTTTTATTTTTTTTTATTTTTTAAATCTCTTTATTTTTATTAGTTTTATCTTTTTATTTTATTTTATTTTTTTACATTTTCTATCCTATCACAATACTATTAATAATGAGCCTATTCTACTACTAATAATAATTGTTCATCATTTGAGCTCTCAATTGCGCATCAAAGAATCTAAAATTTGCCTATTTCCCCCCACTATTAATTGCACAGCGCCATCTAATGGTCAAAATGCAAACTAAAAACTCGTATGACCTTTCCCTAAAAATTAAGCTTTTGAAATAAGTCTTGGCCCAATCATAAAATGCATCACTTTGACACAAAATGGCCAATTTTCGAAAACGCAAAAACCTTCATAAAGAAACCCCAGCGAAAAGCTGACTCAACCCTTGTAAACATTACTTTCTAATTTATGAAAAGGAAATTTTCTAAAGGTTCAGGCACGTATGTGCTGTTGCACTGCTATGCAAGCTGGCTTTAAACATGCCACTGTGATTAGCAAAGCATATGAAACTGGTACACCTTTGTGAAAGTTGTTTTTCTCAAATTCGAAACTTATCTTCATAACAGTGCTGCCACTTTTGTGTCGGGGAAACCTTTATGAATATATCTATCTTTTCGGGTATTGGCAGACTTGTATAAAATGCCAGTACAATACCATTATGAAGGTGTCCGTTGGCAAAACAATAAATAAGTGTTTAGCTTATAAGGGAGGGATGTAGAGAGTCGAATTTTCAGATTTTCCGATGATCTAGAAATGGGTTGAAATTAACCCTGGGTTTAAAATAACCCATTCTTACTTCGCTTAAATTATTTAATCCAGGCACTTTAAAAATTTAATAGATCAACACTACTTGCAAAATTTAAGACTGCAAATTACTCTGATAAAAATTTTTAACACTGAAAAATAAAATAATTACCTTAGTTAGTTAATTTTGTAAGCTTACAATTTTAATTATATGCACAGCGGCTGCTTATGCTTGATAAGACCGTTTACAGATATTTTTAAGGTGTTTATTGCATGTATATTTCGCACATTTAACAAATTTTAAAGAAATTTTATTATCTCCTTCTCGGCGTATGTAACATCTTCCACGCTTCTTGTTGATTTCTGAATCGCCAAGCTTTCCCCGAATTTTTTCAAAGTGATTTTCTTTACCTTCTTTTGCCGAAATCTCAGTTACACTTTCTCAGGACAGATTTTTTCGTCTTTCAGTTTGCTTTATCAGCTTTTCACTTACAATTTCTAGAAAATACCTTTGCTGATAAAGACAGCTATGCCTTCGCGCTTTATTCATCCTCATAATGAGGACGAATGCATTATGGATATAATAATGAAACCAAAATGTTAATTAAAGATACTATTAAAACATTAGTTTTTCATATTAAGATTAGCATTATTTATATATATAAAGAAGAAAGTATGTTTGTTTGTCCTCTAATAACCCAGTCACTGCTATAGCTCCCGTCACCAAAATTTTCTACAATTTTTTTCTAGGTCCTGGAAAAGGTCGACGTCGACTTCTTTAAAAAAAAAAAAAAAAAAAAAAAAAGAAAGTAAAATCAGAGATGTTAATTAAAAAATAAAAATAAAAATAAAAAATAAAAAACGATAATTTTCGCCCTCATTTTTCAGAGTGACAACAGTCTCACAAGCTGGAGATGAAAATCTGCTTAGTTTAGAAAGTTGTTGCCACTGCTTGCTTTCAAATCCTAGAGTTTGTTAATAAAAAATTTGTAAGTTTTACGATGAAATAAAAATAGCATTGCCAAACATTAAATACATTATTCCCGATTCCAAAAATTCGTGGGAAGCCATTTCTACTATTCCCATCTTCGTACGACTTTAATCAGCTGAAATATTAATTGAAAACTCTGAAAACGCTAATTTTCGCACATTTATCCGAGTGGCAACAGTCTAGCGCGTTGGAAATTGAAATGCTTTATTTCGAAAAGTGTTGCTACTGCTCGCTTTCAAAGAGTTTGTTAAACAAAAATTTGTGACTTTTTACATAATCTGGTATTTTTCCGTTTCGCCGGCGCAAATCTCGCCAAGCAAACTTTAATGGCGACAACAAACAGCATACACATAAAAAATGTTAACAAATGTTAGTTCTAAGATTTTTTATTTTGAAGGCATAATTTTAATATCGTTTAAAATTTTGTAAAAAGCCAATAAATAAAGACAATAAATTTGTAAAAAGACATTAATTTAAGAATTTACTATGCTTTCATGGTTCAACATCCTGATTCGCCGCTTCATATCACGTGATTCCAAGGGATCTCATCTCACGCAAACTACGCTACAAAAATATAATGAGATACATTTCGCAGGAGAAGAAGAGGAAGAATGGCCTTGCTCATTTACATTAGCTATACATAAAGTCACATGATCTCTGAGGTCATCTGCATTGTTTGCTTACAAAAGCTATACATAAGTCCCGTGATCTATGAGGTCATCGGAATGTATCTCATTCTCTCAGTAATTATCTACATTAATTTCAAGTTAAATCTTGATTTGGAATGCAAGAATTATTTTAATTCGTACGAATAGCTTACTCAGAAATTATTCGTTAGTAATTAGTTCGTAGTAGTAACTTAGTTTGTTGTGTTTAGAAAACTGCTCCTGTTGACTGTAGCGAATTCGTGGATTAGCTTTCTCTAGCTGTTTTGAATTAAGTTCTTTTGAACGTTTGATTAGTTAAAAAATAACTACTGTGAGATATTGTAAAACTGAAAGAATATCTGAGGGAATTTAAGCATTTTGTGATAATAATAAATTTGTTTTGGTTCATTTTTCATCGGACTTGTGCATTCATTTCGTAACGAACCCGTACGCACGCAACAATATATAAAGAAAAATGCCTGTGTGATTGTGCGTTTGTTTGTTTGTTTGCGTTATTGAGTTCTGAAGAAATCTTGGCCACATTTAATCGACTAAAATTCAATATAGGTGAAATGTTGGATGGAATTTGAGCTTTTGCGACCATTAGATTAGAAAGACGAAAATCATTAAAAACTGCGGTAATTGTTGCTGATGAGAGATAATTAGTTTTTTTTTCTATGGAAATTTTTATGTGAGCTCCATATCGTAGCAGACTCAAAAATGTATGAGTATGAATGGTATTTTTTGCATAGTTATTAGAAAAGGATTACAGCGGTATCGTTCTCATTGTTTTCAATATGTATGAAAGAAAGTGAAAGACAAGCAATCATTTTTCTGTTCGTTGACTTGGAATCTTTAATATACAGGAAAAACAATTCTATATTTGCAGTGAAGTTCTAAGTTTTGATAAAGCAAGGAAAGTTTTATGTGGTAGAATCTGGAATCAAAGGAAATTAAATTATAAGATAAAAAATAAGAATTCCAAACAACGAGTTAACAATTTCAGGAACTCGCGTTATAAAATGAAAATGCGCTCTTTTGCAATTTCGCGTTGGCAAAATAATAATGTTTTACTTAGAAAGCGAGAAAACATCAAGAATAACAGCACTTCAAACTATTTAAGATAAAAGCTGTGGAATTCCCAATAATCCATGAGTCATTGATAGAAATAGAATCAATTACAGTTTACTCAATTATCCGATCTCCGACTATCCGAATCGCTGATTATCCAAATCGCTCTCAGAATTTCAGAATTTTTTTGAATCGACTGATGAAAAGAAAGAAAAGGAGAAAATGGAAAAAAAGCTCAAGTGAAGGAAAGGGAAGAAACAGGAGAAGATGAGGATGACGTGTCAGTTAAGGAATTAAGAAACATTCTTTTGAAAGTTCCTGGATGTTCAGAAGTTAGTGCTGAGGATACAGCAAAATGTATGGTTTGTGATTCGTCAGACCCAGGGTTTCAAATTCTAAATGATGGTGAACTTATTGAAAGTGTGAGAGAAGAAAGTATCGGGGAAGAAGATGGCCTTAATTTCGAAGTTGAAGCAGACACGGGACCATGAGCTTAGTTATTCAGTAAAGTGTGCAACGATTATTTTAATTTTTATCAGTTATTAAGTGAAACACTGTCCCCTCATTTGTTTGATTTGTGGCCGAAGGCTACAAGAATGAGGTCCCTGGTCCGGAGCCCTATCCCAGACTATCAAAATAAAAGCACAGCATTATTAATAGCATTAGAAAAACAATAAATTTTAAAGTCCCAAACCTGGTCGAGATAAAAAGTGAGTCGACGATCAGCAAAGTGTAGGTCGTCAGCTACTATGCGAATGAAGAGTGAGGGGCACGCAGGAACCCTCAGGTGGTCACCCACCTAAGTCCTAACTGCGTGCTGTGCTGCTGGAGAAGATGCAGATTACAATCAAGTCAGGAGAGCGGGAAAATACATAGTTACTTCACATATGAGGGAGTCTTTTCAGAGCTATGCGGGGGTGGATGTAAAACAATTTAGGCTTATATTAACAAATAATGATAGAGTTAATCTAATCACTCATTTGTACAAATAAATTACAGAAGAGCTTAAATTTTTCAAAATTATAATAGGCACTTTTTAGTGGTGAAAAGGCCCAGGAAAAAAATTAACGAATTAAGTAATGAATTTTGCATTGACTTCCCTTATCTGCCTAAGTACAGTCCTTAATTTAGGAATAATTTTAAAGTGACGAAGGTTAACTGCATCGGTTAAAAACTATGCAAATTATTCAGTATTATTACCAAGTTTTATGCTTGGCAGAATTTTTTCTAAGTTGATTTTCGATGTGAGTGAGATTAGCTGCATTTGCATAGTTAACTCCCGGACGGGCTTGGGACATTTTAGAGTATTTCTTACAATATTCGCAGCCACGATATTAACTTACATGTGGATCAAGACAGTCACCAAAAGTCAGGATTTATGTCATATATGTTCAGTCAAATCCTACTGATGTGCAGATGAAGATCAATAGTCACCCACAAAAAGTTTAAAGAACTAGTGCTTCTCAACCTGTTTTGCTCCGTACCTTTCACCGCTGCTAGAAAACCATCCCTCTTCTCCTTTACAATACTCGAAAAATATATATACATTTCTTTAGATTTATATTTTTGTAAACATATTCTGTATAATTTTTTGAGTTCATACAATAAAACTAAGTATTAACAGCTAAATAAAAGGCTGATCGCATTGCCCCATGAAACTATTGATTACTTGAGCTAATTCAGTTTAATGGGATTTGAAAAGAGTTAGTATGACTTTGAGAGTCACACAGAATCCTGTTGCAGTCCTAAGTAGTAGCTTGTCATACATGTTCCGCTATTTATTTCAAGCACGATTTTTAAGCAGAAAGTATCTAAACTCTTTCATATGCCATTATCTAAACACCTTCAACAGTGGTTTAGATAATGACCAAAACTCGGTATCTTATTTAAAATTTTTATTTTCGATAGCAAAATACAAGTGGTGGCACTTATTATCATCATTATTATTATTGATAAGAAATCGGCTCTTTAGTTTGTAATTTTCTGTTTTTTCTAACTTGATATAATCTATTACTTTAAATTGGGCACTTTTTTCACGGTCGTTCCGACCCTTCCTTTAACTACGATCGTTACGTGTATTTTGTGGTTACCGCACAGAAAAAAATTTGGGAATTTTAGTAAATTAGAAAATTCGACCATTTTTTCCCTCAACAGTCATTGCCAAGGTTTTGAGTCAGAGTTTGGGGGGGGGGAGAGAAATGAACTTGAAGCGCCTATTTTAAAGTAACAGACTATAGGAGTTATCAAATAATTTTTTGTTGACTTTAATCTATCCTTGGGATAGGAAAAAAAAGTTTGTTGACTTTAATCTGGTAAGCAGAACTAAAAAAAGATTATGCACTAGAGTTACACCGTAAACTACGTTTTAAGAGTATTCATTCTCTGTGTTTCACAATTAAGAAAGTGGCAGATCTTGTGTTTTAGTCTAAACCAGAAGAGAGAGACGAATACAGTTGAGAGTTGACGGAAGACGGAGACACCATCATTTTTACCAAGAGCTTAGATTATCTTGCGTCCCCCCATATATCTAGCATTAGGAGATGCATCAAATAACGCTGCAAGGCATTATTGCCATTGTGGGTCAAGACATGATTACATAATTTACATAATTATTACATTATTTCAGATACTCAAATTTCTTTATAGCAGAACATGCACTTGCAATAGTACATATTACAAATGCACTTTACAAAGACAACATTTTACAAACTTTACAACTTTACAAAAATTTACGAACACTTATTGCAGGACATCCAAATACAATAGTATTACAGAGAGTTAAACTTCTAGAGACAAACTGAGTAAATTTAAATTCTTACTCTAGGCACTGTAGAGACTAAGACTGTATAGACACTGTACGTACAGTACAGACTTTGTAGAGACTTACTCTAGGCACTGTAGAGACGAATACAGCAGTGAAAAAACAATTTTCAACCAAAGAACAGACACTTGAAATTTACTGGATTCGTTGGTAATAGCCAAACCCATCGGTCATTCAGGCATTTGCATCATCGAAATTGGTCAGGGCGTCATAAAAATATATATTGCTTCATTAAAGGTGGTATCATACATTCAAAACATTTCGGAAGAACAACTCTCGGTTTTTCTGTTTTGTCACATGATATAAAGCAGCCAGTCATCATGGATCACTCTGATATTACCACGTAAAGCGGAAACTAGTTCTTCATTATAAATTATGGTTGATGTTGGGGATTTTATGCTGTTAGCTGAATGATTGTTGAAAATGAACAACTTACAATTATTTGCGAAGGGAACGAAATAAACTATTCCGCCTTTCTTTCAATAGTAAAGCAGGTAGAAAAATTGTTTGACTGAGGCAGTTGTTCGTCCGAAACAAATAAATATGTGATAGCAGCTTTAATCAATCTGGGGGAACTCGAAGTAGTAATTTCTATATTTTCTTATCAAAGCAAAATATACGCAGTAACATGCAGATTCAATTTGCTTATGCATACTTGTTCTAATTGATCGGCATTGCTGATGTGCAACACAGCTATGAGCATTATTTTGCTGTATTTCATCACTTGAGCGCTTTTTCAGTCTTAGCATACACTCGTAACTTACTTTATTTCGTTTAATTTTCAAAATTATTTGTGCAGTGTTTAGCGAGGGATATTGAATCTGGGATCATGACTGTGCCTCTCTCTTTGAAAATACAGCAAACGCATCTTAATGTGGTCGCGGTTAATGCATCGTTCGATTATTATTATTGTTTGCAAACGAAACCACAGAAAACACATCACTTACTTTAATCAACAATTCCGTTAATACGATCAAAATAGAGAAATGTCGCTAAAGAAGGGATTAAGTCGTCAAACAGCTTAGTAGGGATTTTAGTCAAATTTTGAAAAATGGGCAAAAAAGCAGCTTTAGTTTGAAGTGGATTTCGAATAATTCTTTCGATTCTAAGAGCGATTAGGCATATGTCCCTCTTTTTCACGAGCAAAAAACATTTCTGTATATTATTTTTTTTATCGTGAAAAAAAAACATCCCTGAATACACCTACGCCACACTGAGATTGCTTTTTTGCCTAATTTTAAGTTTTACTACCATTTTCTGTTCCGATGAGGGTTGCCGTCCGAGTATTAGAGGTATAGCACCGATCAAATAATTTCCAAAGACGTTATGAACAGTTCATAAATGAACTTTTGAATTAAAGACATTATAAACAACTCACAAACAATCTTTGGTACTTACGTATTAACGGAGAAGTATCGCTTTACTTTGGCGGTAATGTGATATAGTTAGTTTCTCTTTATTTCGAAATCTCATCTACAGTAGCTTCAACAGGTATTTTAGCCTAAGCTTTAACTTCCTGCCTCTGCATGAACTCCACTAAGAACGGCTTCAAATGATGTCTTATAGAACTCTTATGTTTACTCCGTTCTTATAACTGCGTATAAGCATTTTGAAAAATTAATTACATCATACGGTTGCAACAGCGATTAATTTGTGTTGTGGTGTAAAATTTGGCAAGTATTCGCTCTTTTTTGACGAGTTTTGGCTTTTTCTTAGTTAACATGTAAATAACTTTTACATGTAACATGTAGTTAACATGTCTTTTGAATTTTATTCATTAAAATGCAGAAAAGTACCGACTTATACATTACTAGTTATACTAAAATAATAACATTCCATTACTATTTTGAGGGGTATTTTTTTCCGTCATTTAATGTTATTATTCGGTTAATATCATCAAAATAGCCATGGACAAGCATCATCACATTAGGCGGCGTCTGTTGAAGCTAATGTCAGTCGTTACCTGTTTGACTCCAGTCTATTTAGATTTCCTGTATATTTTTGTGCGAAACTGAGAAGAATGTGTGCTGAATATCTATAATCTTTTCCGGACTCTTATATGTATTAGTTAGCAGTCTGCACTATCTGCTGTAACTTTTATATTTTAAAGAAACATCTGGAAATATGTTTACACCGGATATTTAATCGTTATCGATTTATTGCCCCAATCTTTCTAACCTTGTTAGATATCTTGAGAAAACTTTGAGTAGGAGGATCAACAGTGAACATGTGGTTATTTGCAGCGTTCAGCAAAACGCCATTACTATGAAAGTGTGAAAAACTCTTACCAAATAGTAGAGTAAATAAATAGTGTAACATAAAAATGCACACACGGTACAGACACAAAATGTTTTTCGTCTTTTGCAATATTTGGACAGGGATTTGATGAAGAAAATGGTTTTTTGAGTGTGTGCGTTGGTAATATGAGGCTAATGTTTAAACTCGATAGTCTTAAATTTAAAATAGAAAAGAAAAATTCTAACGATTCGAAAATACTATTTAATTTTATCTTCCTCAGTCAGAGTAAAATAGAATATTAGAAAATATATATATATATGAAGAATGAAAAAACGAAATATGCATAATAAAATATCTGATTTAAACCTCTCAAACATTTAATTCAGATTAAAATTTCAAAACCTACGCCAAGTAGCCAATTATTAAATATTAAACAAAAGTTTTGGTAGTTTTCCATTTCGCCGGCGCAAATCTCGCCAAGCAGAATTTATTGGCGACAACATACAGTATACACATAAAAAATATTAAAAAAAATGTTAGTTCTAAGAATTCTTTTTTTTTTTTTTTTTGAAGGCATAAACATTTTAATATCGCTTAAAATTTTATAAAAAGCCAATAAATAAAGACAATAAATTTGTAAAAAGACATCAATTTAAGAATTACTATGTTTTCATGGTTCAACATTCTGATTCGCCGGTTCATATCACGTGACCCTCAAGCGATCTCATCTCACGTAAACTACTCTACAAAAATCTAATGCTCTCACTAATTATCTACATTAATTTCAAGT